CCCTGGTTGCCTTCAAGACCCCTGACTGTCTTCAAGACCCCTGGTTGTCTTCAAGATCCCTGGTTGTCTTCAAGACCCCTGGCTGTCTTCAAGACCCTTGGTTGTCTTCAAGACCTCTGGCTGTCTTCAAGACCCCTGACTGTCTTCAAGACCTCTGGCTGTCTTCAAGACCCCTGACTGTCTTCAAGACCTCTGGCTGTCTTCAAGACCCCTGGTTGTCTTCAAGACCCCTGGCTGTCTTCAAGACCCTTGGTTGTCTTCAAGACCCCTGACTGTCTTCAAGACCCCTGACTGTCTTCAAGACCCCTGGTTGTCTTCAAGACCCCTGGCTGTCTTCAAGACCCCTGGTTGCCTTCAAGACCCCTGACTGTCTTCAAGACCCCTGGTTGTCTTCAAGACCCCTGGTTGTCTTCAAGACCCCTGGATTTCTTCAAGACCCCTGGTTGTCTTCAAGACCCCTGGTTGTCTTCAAGACCCCTGGTTGTCTTCAAGACCCCTGGTTGTCTTCAAGACCCTTGACTGTCTTCAAGACTCCTGGTTGTCTTCAAGACCCTTTGTTGTCTTCAAGACCCCTGGTTGTCTTCAAGACCCCTGACTGTCTTCAAGACCTCTGGCTGTCTTCAAGACCCCTGGTTGTCTTCAAGACCCCTGACTGTCTTCAAGACCTCTAGCTGTCTTCAAGACCCCTGGTTGTCTTCAAGACCCCTGGCTGTCTTCAAGACCCCTGACTGTCTTCAAGACCTCTGGCTGTCTTCAAGACCCCTGGTTGTCTTCAAGACCCCTGACTGTCTTCAAGACCTCTAGCTGTCTTCAAGACCCCTGGTTGTCTTCAAGACCCCTGGCTGTCTTCAAGACCCCTGGTTGTCTTCAAGACCCCTGACTGTCTTCAAGACCTCTGGCTGTCTTCAAGACCCCTGACTGTCTTCAAGACCCCTGATTGCCTTCAAGACCCCTGACTGTCTTCAAGACCCCTGGTTGTCTTCAAGACCCCTGGTTGTCTTCAAGACCCCTGGCTGTCTTCAAGACCCCTGGTTGTCTTCAAGACCCCTAGTTGTCTTCAAGACCCCTTGTTGACTTCAAGACCCCTGGTTGTCTTCAAGACCCCTGGTTGTCTTCAAGACCCCTGGTTGTCTTCAAGACCCCTGGTTGTCTTCACGACCCCTGACTGTCTTCAAGACTCCTGGTTTTGTCTTCAAGCCCCCTGGTTGTCTTCAAGACCCCTGACTGTCTTCAAGACTCCTGGTTGTCTTCAAGACCCCTGGTTGTCTTCAAGACCCCTGACTGTCTTCAAGACCCCTGGTTGTCTTCAAGACCCCTGGTTGTCTTCAAGACCCCTGGTTGTCTTCACGACCCCTGACTGTCTTCAAGACTCCTGGTTGTCTTCAAGACCCCTGGTTGTCTTCAAGACCCCTGACTGTCTTCAAGACTCCTGGTTGTCTTCAAGACCCCTGGTTGTCTTCAAGACCCCTGACTGTCTTCAAGACTCCTGGTTGTCTTCAAGACCCCTGGTTGTCTTCAAGACCCCTGGTTGTCTTCAAGACCCCTGGTTGTCTTCAAGACCCCTGACTGTCTTCAAGACTCCTGGTTGTCTTCAAGACCCCTGGTTGTCTTCAAGACCCCTGACTGTCTTCAAGACTCCTGGTTGTCTTCAAGACCCTTGGTTGTCTTCAAGACCCCTGGTTGTCTTCAAGACCCTGACTGTCTTCAAGACCTCTGGCTGTCTTCAAGACCCCTGGTTGTCTTCAAGACCCCTGACTGTCTTCAAGACCTCTGGCTGTCTTCAAGACCTTTGGTTGTCTTCAAGACCCCTGACTGTCTTCAAGACCTCTGGCTGTCTTCAAGACCCCTGGTTGTCTTCAATACCCCTGGTTGTCTTCAAGACCCCTGGTTGTCTTCAAGACCCCTGACTGTCTTCAAGACCCTGGTTGTGTTCAAGACCCCTGGTTGTCTTCACGTCTCCTGGTTGTCTTCAAAGACCCCTGACTGTCTTCAAGACTCCTGGTTGTCTTCAAGACCCTTGGTTGTCTTCAAGACCCCTGGTTGTCTTCAAGACCCCTGACTGTCTTCAAGACCTCTGGCTGTCTTCAAGACCCCTGGTTATCTTCAAGACCCCTGACTGTCTTCAAGACCTCTGGCTGTCTTCAAGACCCCTGGTTGTCTTGAAGACCCCTGGTTGTCTTCAAGACCCCTGGTTGTCTTCAAGACCCTGACTGTCTTCAAACCCCTGGTTGTCTTCAAGACCCCTGGTTGTCTTCAAGACCCCTGGTTGTCTTCAAGACCCCTGATTGTCTTCAAGACCCCTGGTTGTCTTCAAGACCCCTGGTTGTCTTCAAGACCCCTGGTTGTCTTCAAGACCCCTGGTTGTCTTCAAGTCTCCTGGTTGTCTTCAAGTCTCCTGGTTGTCTTCAAGACCCCTGGTTGTCTTCAAGACCCCTGGTTGTCTTCACGACCCCTGACTGTCTTCAAGACTCCTGGTTGTCTTCAAGACCCCTGGTTGTCTTCAAGACCCCTGACTGTCTTCAAGACTCCCTGGTTGTCTTCAAGACTCCCTGGTTGTCTTCAAGACCCCTGACTGTCTTCAAGACTCCTGGTTGTCTTCAAGACCCCTGGTTGTCTTCAAGACCCCTGGTTGTCTTCAAGACCCCTGGTTGTCTTCAAGACCCCTGACTGTCTTCAAGACTCCTGGTTGTCTTCAAGACCCCTGGTTGTCTTCAAAACCCCTGACTGTCTTCAAGACTCCTGGTTGTCTTCAAGACCCCTGGTTGTCTTCAAGACCCTGACTGTCTTCAAGACCTCTGGCTGTCTTCAAGACCCCTGGTTGTCTTCAAGACCCCTGACTGTCTTCAAGACCTCTGGCTGTCTTCAAGACCTTTGGTTGTCTTCAAGACCCCTGACTGTCTTCAAGACCTCTGGCTGTCTTCAAGACCCCTGGTTGTCTTCAATACCCCTGGTTGTCTTCAAGACCCCTGGTTGTCTTCAAGACCCCTGACTGTCTTCAAGACCCCTGGTTGTGTTCAAGACCCCTGGTTGTCTTCACGTCTCCTGGTTGTCTTCAAGACCCCTGACTGTCTTCAAGACTCCTGGTTGTCTTCAAGACCCTTGGTTGTCTTCAAGACCCCTGGTTGTCTTCAAGACCCCTGACTGTCTTCAAGACCTCTGGCTGTCTTCAAGACCCCTGGTTATCTTCAAGACCCCTGACTGTCTTCAAGACCTCTGGCTGTCTTCAAAACCCCTGGTTGTCTTCAAGACCCCTGGTTGTCTTCAAGACCCCTGGTTGTCTTCAAGACCCCTGACTGTCTTCAAGACCCCTGGTTGTCTTCAAGACCCCTGGTTGTCTTCAAGACCCCTGGTTGTCTTCAAGACCCCTGATTGTCTTCAAGACCCCTGGTTGTCTTCAAGTCTCCTGGTTGTCTTCAAGACCCCTGGTTGTCTTAAAGGGACCCTGGTTGTTTTCAAGTCTCCTGGTTGTCTTCAAGTCTCCTGGTTGTCTTCAAGACGCCTGGTTGTCTTCAAGACCCCTGGTTGTCTTCAAGTCTCCTGGTTGTCTTCAAGTCTCCTGGTTGTCTTCAAGAGGGAGCTGGACAGGCACAGTCACTACCTGACTAGCCGGGCTGTGGTTCCTACTTTGGTGTACGTGCATCCCACAGTAACAGCCTTGTTGATCAAGACCTGATCCACCACCAGGCTTGGTCATAGACCGGGCCGAGGGGGCGGCGACCCACGAGACACCCTCCAGGTATACTCCAGGTATAGGTGGGTGAGGAATAATGGATGGGTGGAGAGAATAACAGGTGGGTAGAGGTAAATAACAGGTGGGGGAGAAAACGGGTGGGTTGGGGAGTGATTGGAGAAAATAAAAATGTGGGTTGGGGAATGACGGGTGGGTGAGGGAGAATAACATGTGGGTGGGGGAATGACTGGTGGGGTGACTCATGGGTGGGTGGGGAGAATAACAGGTGGGTATGGAGAATAATGGGTGGTGGGGAGAAAGGTGGGTTTGGAGAATAATGGGTGGCGGTGTTAATAATGGGTGGGCGAGGAGAACAACGGGTGAGTGGGGTAGAATAACGGGTGGGAGGGGGAGAACATGTGAGTGGGGAGAGCATCTAGGTGGGAGGGAGGGGGAACATATGGGTGGGAGGGAGGGGGAACATGTGGGTGGGAAAAGCATCTAGGTGGGAGGGGGAGCATATGGGTGGGAAGGAGGGGGGAACATGTGGGTGGGGAGAGCATCTAGGTGGGAGGGAGGGGGAACATGTGGGTGGGGAGAGCATCTAGGTGGGAGGGAGGGGAACATATGGGTGGGAGGGAGAGGGGAACATGTGGGTGGGGAGAGCATCTAGGTGGGAGGGAGGGGGGGAACATGTGGGTGGGGAGAGCATCTAGGTGGGAGGGAGGGGGGGGTAACATGTGGGTGGGGAGAGCATCTAGGTGGGAGGGAGGGGGAACATGTGGGTGGGGAGAGCATCTAGGTGGGAGGGAGGGGGGAACATGTGGGTGGGGAGAGCATCTAGGTGGAGAGGGGGGGTAACATGTGGGTGGGGAGAGCATCTAGGTGGGAGGGAGGGGAACATGTGGGTGGGGAGAGCATCTAGGTGGGAGGGAGGGGGTAACATGTGGGTGGGGAGAGCATCTAGGTGGAGGGAGGGGGAACATGTGGGTGGGGAGAGCATCTAGGTGGAGGGAGGGGGGAACATGTGGGTGGGGAGAGCATCTAGGTGGGAGGGAGGGGGGAACATGTGGGTGGGGAGAGCATCTAGGTGGGAGGGAGGGGGGAACATGTGGGTGGGGAGAGCATCTAGGTTGGAGGGAGGGGGAACATGTGGGTGGGGAGAGCATCTAGTGGGAGGGAGGGGGGAACATGTGGGTGGGGAGAGCATCTAGGTGGGAGGGAGGGGGAACATGTGGGTGGGGAGAGCATCTAGGTGGGAGGAGGGGGGTAACTTGTGGGTCGGGGGTGGGGGGTGGGTTGGGGTGGGGGTGGGGGGGTGAGAGATGTAAACAAAGATGGCGTCGTCAGACTCAGCGTCGTAACTCTGGTCTACACCCACACCACAATCTTGTGTCATGTTTGGTGTTATAATGGGCGTGTAGTGGGTGATAATGGGCGGGTTGATGGTGGATCATGATAGACGTCACCCATGACGCCATGATCACCGCCAGGATCATGAGGATACTCAGAAATAAGGTGGTTCTGACGGTGGTCTTCCTGGTGGGTCTCCTCTACTGTTCTCTCTCTCTCTGGTCTCAGGTAATTATTATTATTATTATTATTATTATTATCATCATCATTATTATTATTATTGGAGGGCAGCCGGGGGGGGTGACCTTCATGCAGGGATCCTCATCCAAGGTGTTAGAACTGATACTTCCCATCACTACTGTTCTATATCAACTTACGGGTTTAGCGCTCTTGTCATTAATAATAATAATTATAATAACAATGATAATAAAAACAATAATAATACTGGTTAATAATAATAATAATAAAAATAATATTAATATTAACAATAATGAAACAACACTAAAACAATGATAATATTAACTATAATAATAATAATAATAATAATAATAATAAGTGGAGGTGTCAGCAGATGATGTATGAAAGAAGAAATTAATAATATAACTAAAGACGGGGGATCACCGAGATGTCTGCGGTGACGACGAACGTTGTCCATGGACGCAACGATGGGAATATATGAGAGTATAATTATACCGCTGCTGTTATATGTGAAGAATACGTGATGAATGTTGTAACAAGGAGAAGGCTGGAGGCACCGTAGATTGTTGCGAATAAGAAATTTTATAAAGAACTTCAGAATATGGTCTGTTACTATTTTCTTCATAGGCAACGAGATTTTGGATCAGAGATACTTAAAGGTATTTTAGAGTCTTGGGGAAATAATTTCAACTGAGAAACTCCATAGAATAATATTCAAATTTATTAAAGTATTTAAATACAATACTTTATCTTCTCTCTGTAGTTAATGTAACTTAATACTTAGTACAATAAATTTACCATATATATTTAGTTCAAAATCATGGAAATATCACATTAATAAGGAAGATTAATTTTTCTTCGTGTAATTAAGTCTTCACTAACATTTACGTCTTTGTCTTAACAAGACTGCGTAAACTCAAACTACAAAATGTACAAGATTTAACAAGACTTGTGAATCCGGCCGTAAAGGAAGTAGAAAGCAAGAGTTTGTCTGAGAAGACGTATCTCTATGGATTACTGAACTGACCAAGAATGTAAATATGAAAATCTTCAGAGCAATGAGGAACAAACTGAGTCAGCTCTAGAGTCTAATTCTCAAACCCATTTAAACTGTACACCGTAAGAGAGAACCAATATACGATCAGTTGTCAAGGCTAGAGCAGTGAGCGGACTGACTACCTGCCAGTCTGTTGACCCGTCATCAGGTTGGATCACCTGACCCAAACGTCAGTCAGCCGGACATAAACAATTGAACAATTCACCGGATGGTTCCGAGACTTATGCTCTATACACATAATAATCCTACCTAATAATAATAATAATAAAATAATAGTGATAATACCATGGTATTTTTTATATATTAACAGATAATAATATAATGCCGAAAGTCACTATTTTAGCTATAAACGGGGACTTTCGCGCTATAATATTAAGTGATGATCATATTCTCTTAAAATAGTTAAATAACGCAGGATGACCAATTTCCAAGATATAACACAGATGTTGTGTCTGACGGCAACGTCTGGTGTGGATGTTGTGTCTGACGGCAACGTCTGGTGTGGATGTTGTGTCTGACGGCAACGTCTGGTGTGGATGTTGTGTCTGACGGCAACGTCTGGTGTGGATGTTGTGTCCGACGGCAACGTCTGGTGTAGATGTTGTGTCTGACGGCAACGTCTGGTGTGGATATTATGCTGATAATTTGTAGTTTGGTAGTTAGGAGGAGGTGAGGGATCACTAAAACTGTTGTCCAGAGGGCTGAGGAAGGGTTGTTGAGGTGGTTCAGACATGTAGAGAGAATGGAACGAAACAGAATGACTTTGAGAGCGTATAAATCTGTAGTGGTGGGAAGGCGGGGTAGAGGTTGGAGGGAGGGGGTAAAGCAGGTTTTGCCTGCGAGGGGCTTGGACTTCCAGCAAGTGTGTGTGAGTGTGTTAGGAGTGAATGGAGACAAATGGTTTTTCGGACTTAACGTGCTGTTGGAGTGTGAGGAAAGTAACATTTATGAAGGGGTTCAGGGAAACCGGCAGGCCGGACTTGAGTCCTGGAGATGGGAAGTACAGTGCCTGCACTCTGAAGGAGGGGTGTTAATGTTGCAGTTTTATAACTGTAGTGTAAAGCACATCTCTGGCAAGACAGTGATGGAGTGAATAATGAAAGTTTTCCTTTTTCGTCCCACCCTGCCGTGGTTGCCAATGTGTTATTAAAAAATAAAAAATAAAACGTCAGTTTCGGTAATATTTTATATTTTTTACCATTATAGATTTATTTATAAGTTTTATTTTTATGTGTATGTATTTGGGGTGTGCCAAGGTATTTGTATCAGTTAATTTTGATGGTATCAGTAGCGGGCTGATGCTGAGTATCGGTGTTGGCCAATTTTGAGTGTACCATTACAGTATCGGTGGATATCAGCTAATTGTGATGGTATTGGTAGCACCTTAAAATCCAGCATCAGTATCAGTATTAGTAAAAAATCTGGTATCATCTGATCCCAAGTATGTACAGTCTCTCCTCACTTAGTGACATACTCGTTTACCAACGACTCGGACTTACGACGGGCTCTCTGACCAGTATGCATACCTAAATAATGTATATTAGAGCTGATTTCCTCAATTCTATTTATTACAATATACAGTACACTGCCGTATAAACATTTAAAAATATACCAGAAATGTTATAAACGGTGCAAAGGTGACATTAAAACAATATCAAAGATAGTTGACACAAACCCACTGCCATTATAGTATGCTCCTTGCTTAGCGACAAATTTGGTTACCGACGAGGTCTTAGGAATGGAATTCCATAGTTAACCCGTAAACGGTCCAAACGTATATATACGTTTTTTCAATATTTGAAAGTATGTAAAAAAAGTAGATTTTTTTTTTTTTTTACATTTGAAAATGTGTAGATAACTTTGATCTACTTTGTTTTTTGTTATACAGTGGACCCCCGCATAACGTTGGCATCGCATAGTGCTAAATCCGCATAGCGATACATTTTCTCGCTAAAATTTTGCCTCGCATAGTGCTAAAAAATTCGCTCAACTCGATTCATCCGAGACACGTCCATGCGGCCTGAGCCAGCCTCATTTGTTCTGCCAGTGGCATTGTTTACAAGCCAGCCTCCGCGGTAACATTCAAGTATACAATCGGAACATTTTGTATTATTACAGCCTTTTTATAGTGATTTCACCTGAAAAATAAGTGACCATGGGCCCCAAGAAAGCTTCTAGTGCCAACCCTACAGGAATAAGGGTGAGAATTACTATGGAGATGAAGAAAGAGATCATTGCTAAGTATGAAAGTGGAGTGCGTGTCTCCGAGCTGGCCAGGTTGTATAGTAAACCCCAGTCAACCATCGCTTCTATTGTGTCCAAGAGAACGGCAATCAAGGAAGCTGTTCTTGCCAAAGGTTTAACTGTGCTTTCGAAACAGAGATCGCAAGTGATAGAAGATGTTGAGAGACTGTTATTGGTGTGGATAAATGAAAAACAGATAGCAAGAGATAGCATCTCTCAAGCGATCATAATTGAAAAGGCTAGGAAGTTGCACGAGGATTTAATTAGAAAAATGCCAGCAACTAGTGGTGATGCGAGTGAATTTAAGGCCAGCAAAGGTTGGTTTGAGAGATTTAAGAGGCGTAGTGGCATACATAGTGTGATAAGGCATGGTGAGGCTGCCAGTTCGGACCACAAAGCAGCTGAAAAATATGTGCAGGAATTCAAGGAGTACATAGACAGTGAAGGACTGAAACCTGAACAAGTGTTTAATTGTGATGAAACAGGCCTGTTTTGGAAGAAAATGCCAAGCAGGACCTACACTACTCAGGAGGAAAAGGCACTCCCTGGACATAAGCCTATGAAAGACAGGCTTACTCTTCTCATGTGTGCCAATGCTAGTGGTGATTGCAAAGTGAAGCCTTTATTGGTGTATCACTCTGAAACTCCCAGAGTGTTCAGGCAAAAGAATGTCCTCAAGGCTAATTTGTGTGTGCTGTGGAGGGCAAACAGTAAGGCATGGGTCACTAGGGACTTTTTCTATGACTGGTTACACCAAGCATTTGCCCCTACTGTGAAAAATTACCTAACTGAAAAGAAATTAGACCTTAAGTGCCTCCTGGTGTTAGACAATGCCCCTGGTCATCCTACAGACATGGCAGAGTGACTTTATGGGGACATGAGCTTCATTAAGGTGAAGTTTTTGCCTCCTAATACCACTCCTCTCCTGCAGCCCATGGACCAGCAGGTTATTGCAAACTTCAAAAAACTGTACACAAAAGTTCTGTTTGAAAGGTAGGTACTTTGTAGTGACCTCAGAAACTCAGCTGACTCTAAGAGAGTTTTGGAGAGAGCACTTTAATATTCTCAATTGTGTAAACCTTATAGGTAAGGCTTGGGAGGGAGTGACTAAGAGGACCTTGAACTCTGCTTGGAAGAAACTGTGGCCAGAATGTGTAGACCAAAGGGATTTTGAAGGATTTGAGGCTAATCCTGAGAATCCTATGCCAGTTGAGGAATCCATTGTGGCATTGGGGAAGTCCTAGGGGTTGGAGGTTAGTGGGGAGGATGTGGAAGAGTTGGTGGAGGAGGACAATGAAGAACTAACCACTGATGAGCTCCTAGATCAACTTCAAGAGCAAGAGGCCAGACCTGGGGAAACTGGTTCAGAGGAGGGGAGAGAGAAATTGAAGAAATTGCCTACTACAAAGATTAAGGAAATCTGTGCAAAGTGGCTTGAAGTGCAAACCTTCATGGATGAAAATCATCCTCACACAGCTATTGCAAGCCGTGCTGGTGACTATTACACTGACAATGTTGTGAAACACTTTAGGAAAGTCATAAAGGAACGAGAGGTACAGGCCACTATGGACAGATATGTTGTGCGACAGAAGTCCAGTGACTCTGAAGCTGGTCCTATTGGCATTAAAAGAAGAAGGGAAGTAACCCCGGAAAAGGACTTGCTACCTCAAGTCCTAATGGAAGGGGATTCCCCTTCTAAACACTAAAACCATCCAGTCTCCCCTCCTCCCATCTCATCAATCATCACCACATCTTCAATAAAGGTAAGTGTCATGTAACTGTGCATGTTTTCTTAAGTTTATGTGTATTAAAATTAATATTTCATGTGGTAATTTTTTTTTTTTCATACGTTTGGGTGTCTTGCACGGATTAATTTGATTTCCGTTATTTCTTATGGGGAAAATTAATTCGCGTAACAATAATTTCACATAACATTGAGCTCTCAGGAACGGATTAATAGCGTTATGCGGGGGTCCACTGTATTTGAAAATATGTAAAAAAAAAAGGTAGATCTACTTTTGGAGCACTACTCATGTGAATGTAGATCTGCTTGGACCGTTTACGAGTTAAGTGAGGAAAAGCTGTATTATTGTGTATTTAGAATGTTTGCATCAACCACATTCCTTCCTGTGTACAGGCGCTCCTCGACTTACAGTGATGTTACATTTAAAATGTCGTAAGTCAAATATGAATGTATGCTGAATAAATAACTACTGCCGCTGAATAAGTAAATAAATAAATAATTACTATAACTAACTAAATACAAGTATTGAAAACTAAATAAATGAATACAAGTTATGGACTTGTCAAAGCATCGTAAGTCAAGTCCTGCATCACTTCCCAGATTTCGTGCAGTATACAAAAATAAATCCACTAAACCATTCTCGTGCCCAGAGTCTTGTTTCTCGAGCAGAAAATTGTTCTTAGGGTCTGGATTCTAGTAATATTTAAAATCCACAGAACACAAGTAGCCCCATTGAGAGTGAGGCGGAAGTCGCAGGAAGGGTCGAATTTCACTGGGGTCCCGATTCCGCCAACGGCACATCCAACGACAAGGTCACGACCTGCAGAAACTCTGTCCAGGGGAAGGTACTCCTGGCTGATGATCAAGGTGAGACAAGGTCAGGTTTGGTATTTCATTTTGAAGCAAGTTAATAGTCTGCCTTAACCCTTTGACTGTCGCGGCCGTATACATACGTCTTACGAGATACCGTGTTTGACGTATATATACTCATAAATTCTAGCGGCTTCAGATCAAGCAGGAGAAAGCTGGTAGGCCTACATGTGAGAGAATGGGTCTGTGTGGTCAGTGTGCACCATATAAAAAAAATCCTGCAGCACGCAGTGCATAATGAGAAAAAAAACTCCGACCATTTTTTTTAATTAAAATGCCGAATTTGTGGTCTATTTTCGTATAGTATTTATGGTTGTATTCTCATTTTCTTGGTCTCATTTGATAGAATGGAAAACATATTATAGAAGTAGAGGTGATTTTGATTGATTTTACTATAAAAAGAACCTGGAAGTGGAGCTCAAAGTAGGGGAAATGTTTGATTTTTGCCAATGTTCAAAAGTAAACAAATGATGCCATTGTCCAATAAATGTCCAACTAGCCATTCTAATATGCAGTCATGAATGGGTTGACATTATTTGTACAATTATTACAGTATTGCAGTAGTCTGCATAACAGTAAGTCTTCTATTTTTTGTTTGAATAAAAATTCAAAATAGAAAGCAAGAGTAATATCAGAGGGGCCTGGAGACATGACTGATGAACAAAGAAAATGTTATTTTAGAGCCAGGAATGTCTGCATTGTTCATTCTGGACCTCATTTTGAAATTGTCATATTTTTTAATTTTCGTGAAATTGGCCAAATTGCAAATTTCGGACCACATTATTGGGTAGTTGACATCGGTAAATGGGCAGTTTCTTGTACTCAATCGATAGAAAAAATGGAGTTCTAAAGGGATAGCTATGAGTTTGGTCGACTGGAACAATGGAATTAGCCGAAAATAGGGCTCAAAGTGGGTGAAATCGCCGATTTGTAAATATCGCCGAGGTCGCTAACTTCGCGAGAGCATAATTCCATCAGTTTTCCATCAAATTTCGTTTTTTTTGGTGTCAATACAATCGGGAAAAGATTCTCTATCATTTCATAAGAAAAAATAATTTTTTTTTTTTAAATTTTGCAACACCAGGAGACACCTCAGGATTGGGGGTTGCGACAGTCAAAGGGTTAATGTTAGTTCATAATCTTTTAGACATCAGTAACAGCCTGATTGATCAGGTCCTGATCCACCGCGAGGTCTGGTCATGAACTGGGCCACGGGGGCATTGACCCCCGAAACACCCTTCAAGTATACTACAGGTATACTGCAGGTATACTCCAGGTATACTACAGGTATACTCCAGGTATACTCCAGGTATGGCAAGAGAGTTCTAAAACTCACGTTCTGTGATTTGTTTACAATTGTCGTGTTATTACGATTTTGTGAATCCGTCAGCCACTCGCTTGATGCCAGTGCACTTGTAAATTGTGTCCTTCATCCCTTCTGTTGGAAAATCTTCTTCACTCACCGACTGTACTTACTAGGTGCCCCGTGGCCTGGTAGGCAGCGCTCTCGCCTCACACACTGAGTGTCTGGGGTTCAATCCCTGCCTGGGTGGAAACATTGAGTGTGTTTCCTTACACTGGTTGTCACTGTTCACCAAGCAGTAAGTAGGTACCTGGGTGTTAGTAACCTTACACCTGCTGTCACTGTTCACCTAGCAGTAAGTAGGTACCTGGGTGTTAGTTGACTGGTGTGGGTGGCATCCTGGGGGACAAGATTGAAGGATCACAATGGAAATTGGACAGTCCTCGGTGATGTACTGACTTACTTGGGTTATCCTGGGTGGCTAACCTTCCCTATTCTGGGTTATCCTGGGTGGCTAACCCACCCTACCCTGGGTTACCCTGGGTGGCTAACCCACCCTCCCCTGGGTTATCCTGGGTGGCTAACCCTCCTTACCCTGGGTGGCTAACCAACCCTCCCCTGGGTTATCCTGGGTGGTTAACCCTCCCTACCCTGGGTTATCCTGGGTGGCTAACACTCCCTACCCTGGGTGGCTAACACTCCCTACCCTGGGTGGCTAACACTCCCTACCCTGGGTGGCTAACACTCCCTACCCTGGGTGGCTAACACTCTCTACCCTGGGTGGCTAACACTCCCTACCCTGGGTGGCTAACACTCCCTACCCTGGGTGGCTAACACTCCCTACCCTGGGTGGCTAACACTCCCTACCCTGGGTGGCTAACACTCCCTACCCTGGGTGGCTAACCCTCCCTACCCTGGGTGGCTAACACTCCCTACCCTGGGTGGCTAACACTCCCTACCCTGGGTGGCTAACACTCCCTACCCTGGGTGGCTAACACTCCCTACCCTGGGTGGCTAACACTCCCTACCCTGGGTGGCTAACCCTCCCTACCCTGGGTGGCTAACACTCCCTACCCTGGGTGGCTAACACTCCCTACCCTGGGTGGCTAACACTCCCTACCCTGGGTGGCTAACACTCCCTACCCTGGGTGGCTAACACTCCCTACCCTGGGTGGCTAACACTCCCTACCCTGGGTGGCTAACACTCCCTACCCTGGGTGGCTAACACTCCCTGCCCTGGGTGGCTAACACTCCCTACCCAGGTGGCTAACACTCCCTACCCTGGGTGGCTAACCCTCCCTGTGTTCTGGGTTATCATGGGTGACTAACCCACCCTACCCTGGGTTATCCTGGTTGCATAACCCACCCTACTCTGGGTTATCCTGGGTGGCTAACACTCCCTACCCCAGGTTACCCTGGCTGGCTAACCCTCTGGGCTAAAAATCCCAACAAAATCTTCTCTCTCCCATCTCCTAATGGTATACCATTGCAGAAAGTGGTATTCTAACCTTTGATGTACTGTGAAAGAAAGGAAAGGCAAGTTCTGGAGTGTTGCATTTGCTACTGTGAACATGATGTTACTATTACAAGTAATACAAGAATGAATAGAAGAAGCAAAGCATCCAGCATCAAAATTAATTTTCTGGCACTAAACTCCTAGTGACTGAAGAAACATGCTGATCTTCCAGAGCGGGTACAATAGCACCCGTGAGACCAGAACCAGGTAAACCTGGGTTAAGGTATACCTGGAGAGGGTTTCAGGGGTCATCGCCCCCGTGGGTCGGTCTGAGACCAGGTAGACTAAGAGATGGGGGGGGTCAGAAGCAAGTGTTATTCCCTGCAAACACAGCTAGCTTAGTACAGTAAGTCCCTGACTTACAAACTTGTTAAGAGGCTTCTGCATTGTCTATTATGACATTATATCATTATTGTGTATTTTCATTTATTTTATTAACACATCGGTCGTTCCCCACCAAGGCAGGGTGGCCCAGAAAAAGAAAAACTTTCACCATCATTCACTCTGTCACTGTCTTGCCAGAGGTGCACTTGCACTACAGTTACAAAACTGCAACATTAACACCCCTCCTTCAGAGTGCAGACACTGTACTTCCCATCTCCAGGACTCAAGTCCGGCCTGCCGGTTTCCCTGAATCCTTCATAAATGTTACCTTGTTCACACTCCAACAGCACGTCAAGTCCTAAAAACCATTTGTCTCCATTTGCTCCTATTTACCACACACACACATGCTTGCTGGAAGTCCAAGCCCCTCTCACACAAAACCTCATTTACCCCCTCCCTTCAACCTTTCCTAGGCCGACCCAAACCCAGAAGGTCCCCAACATGTTCCTAAGTTGAAGATTTCCTGTATTATGAATATTATACACAATTCATGAGGTCTCCAATTTGTTTGTAAGTCAAGGACTTACAGTATATATATACAGTGATTAGTGGATTACAGTAGATCCCCAGTAGAGCAGAATAATTGAGATTGGATGGACAGGATAATGGAGATTGGATGGTCAGTAATGGAAGTTATGGAGGTTAAAGGAGAGAATGTTTTACACAAGTAACTTGCACATGAGAAAGAAGCTTATGAGGCTGTTTTTGTCCAATTTGAACCACTTACAAGTTACACTGTGACTTGTAAATGGTCCAAATTGGACACACACAGCCTCAAAAGCTTCTTTCTCATGTGCAAGTTATTTGTGTATTGTGCCAGTTTCGGTATTATGCCTTCTTGTTCTTTAAGAGATTGTTTTACTGTGATTGTAACAACAATGGATAATTCTGTAATCAACCACTGGACTTTGTTATTTGTGACTCAATTTACCCAGTGGATTTTATTTCATATTCCTGAAGTACATTACACCTACCATCTGACTTACGACCGAGCTTGGTTCCGACCAACTGGTTGTAAGTCAAAATGGACGTAAGTCAAACCTCACTACTGAATATCAACATCACATTTTTGTAATGATTTTATTTTATTGTTTTATTTTGGTATTTCATTTTTTACTTAACTTTTTATGCTGTTAGTACTGTATTTTATATTGTAAGGTTTAGGATAAACACTGTGTACATCACAAACAGTTGTTTATTTCCCAGAAATTTGGCATACAAGACACGGTCGTAAGTCGAGTGGTCGTATGTCGAGCAGGTCGCAAGTCAGATGGTAGGTGCATATAAAGGTGTTACAACGAAGGTGCGGTAGCAAGATAGCCAAGAAAGTGTAAGTCGGGTGTCCAACCTTCTCCACAGGTGCCACATCATATACAGTATTCGACACATTTTTTGCAGGTCGAAGAACAAAATCGGTCTTATAAATAAATGTAAATGAATAAGAGACTGAAGTGACTGAAAATGGGAGTTTAATGTTATTTTTACTATTTATAAATACAGTAATTCCCCTTATCCACAGGGGATGTTTCCAGGATCTGCCGTGGATAGTAGCCAACCCTATGTATGTGTCATTTTTCGTTTGCATACATGCCTATTATAAAGTTCAATTGATAAATTATGCACAATAAGTGGAGAACTGTCGCTTTTTCACTGATGGGAAACACTTCACAGCTTGTCTTAGTCTTTGAAGAACTTCCACAATCACACCATCACTACTTCTGCACTTTGAGGCCATTATTATGCAAAAATTAAGGGTTATTCTTGGGTTATAGTAAACCACGGATAACAGAAATCGTGTGTATCAGACCCATGGATATGGAGTCCTACTGTATTTGAAGTTTCTGTGCACCACATGCGGCCCATGGGCCGCAGTTTGCCGACCCCTGGTATGTGTGTTAAGGTGCTGTTCACACTTTCATTACATCCGAAGTGTAACAAGGTTCATACCCACCTAGGCTACCAGCAGCAACAGCCTGTTTGACGAGCCTGGTCCATGGCCGGGCTCCTGGAGTAGAAAACTCTTCGAACTCATCAGAGGTATAAAAGGTATCCCATTTCCCCAGGTGCTGTAAGACCCCCTATGGGTTTAGAACTTCCTCATGAATATACAATCTCTCCTCACTTAGCAACATACTCGTTTATCAATGATCGGACTTACGACAGGCTGTCTGATTAGTATGACCGGGTTGTGTGCGGCCAACAGTAACAGCCTGGTTGATCAGGCACTGATCAACCAGGGGGCATTGACCCCCGAAACCCTCTCCAGGTATACTCCAGGTAATTATAGTATGCTCCTTGCTTAGTGACGAATTTGTTTACCGACGTGGTCTTAGGAACAGAACTCCATCATTAAGTGAGGAGAGGCTATTGTAATAATCTAAGAGGATACAATGTCTAAGAAAATCTCATAGAAGAATTTTTTTCAGGCTATGTGTGCCATCGAGTGGATCGTTTGAGCAGCGGGTGTTGCAATATTGCGGTGGATACGACACGTCGCTATGCATGTGACACATGCAACGCTCATGGGTGCTGCGCCATCTATGAGTATTGCGTGTCCTGTTGCCTTCATCCTGATAAGGTGAGTCAAAATGCATTTTCTGGTTATAAGTGATGAATTACAGTGTACTAAGTGTTAAGCAGCAGAAAAAACCGAGTACAGATGCCACCGTGTCTTGGTGGGAAATGACTGATGTGATAATAAAAATCTATAACATTATTATACTTCATTAAATGATAATAAAATACAGTGAACCCCCGGTTTACGATATTATTTCATCCCAGAAGTATGTTCAGGTGCCAGTACTGACCGAATTTGTTCCCATAAGGAATATTGTGAATTAGATTAGTCCATTTCAGACCCCCAAACATACACATACAAACGCACTTACATAAATACACTTACATAATTGGTCGCATTGGGAGCTGATCGTAAACCGGGGGTCCACTGTACATTATTACACCTCAGAAATGGCAGATTCATTTTTGCCATACATCTTGGCAACTTTAGCATACAATTTTTTCTTCTTGTTGTATTAAGTTGAGAATTAGCATTTCTTCACTGATGGGAAGCATTTCTTGGCTTCTCTTAGGCTTTGCAGAAATGCGAGTATCATTGCTTTAGGGCCATTATTAAGCAAAATTAAGGCTTATTTATAGACCACGGTAAATTGTGGATAACTGAATCTACGGAAAGCAAATCCGCAGATATGAGGGTTGCTACTGTACATTCTGTTATTTTGTTCTATAGTTTAGGGGAGGTGGATAGTGACTGCTTCATTACGTGCTCATTTTACATTGTTGGTTTTGTGATATACAGTGGACTCTTGAATTTCATCCCTTTCCCAAATGTAAAACTACGGTTATTCTCTAAAAAATGTATTTTTTGTTAATATTTGTGGGTGTCTGGAATGGATTAATTGGATTTACATTATTTCTTATGGGAAATATTAACAAAAAATATATTTTATAGAGAATAACTATAGTTTTACATACAGAAAAGGCATGATAAAATTCGAGGCTCCACTGTATTTGTGCTCTTTTCGTCTCATGAGGTGGGAATGCAGGTTGTAGTAGTCTCACACTGGTAGTACTGTTGACCATTCTGTATGCATGACTCATGAAATCGTAATGACACGATTGCAAACAAACGCGACGGGCTAGAGTTTTGATACTCTCTGACCGCGGGTTCAATCCCGGCCGGGGTATGGTTTATTCTGTATGCATACTTGTTGAAGAATTAGACACATGTACAACATCTGGGTATCTTTATTTGTAGACATTTTGCTATCCAGTGGCTTTATCAGTGCAAATTCCAGGGCATAATATGAAGACTGTAGAACTATGTACAAGAATGTGGTGATTTTCACCAACTCCAGGACTGAGGGACTGATTACTTCATCTTTGTATATGGTTTTACAGTCTTCCCATTATGTCCTTGAATTTGGGAGTTTGGGAGAGGTTTTGGATATTGGTTATTTGGAGTGACATTTAAATTATCATATCTGAGTGTTTCTGTGAAGACAGTGATTTTGTATGAATGATGGTGAAAGTGTTGAATGATGAAAGTTTTTTCTTTCTTTTTGGGTTGCCCTGACATGTTGCAAAACAAGCCACTGGATGGTGAAACATCTGCAGATCAATACACAAATAACCCGCACATAGAAGAGAGGAGTTTACGACAACTTTCCTTGTATGAATCTTAGTCTTGGCTTCGTCTCTGTAGATGCCTTCTTCTCCCACTACATTGCTAAATGCTCCAAACTTCAGAACACCTGTGACTTAACCTGATTCCTCCTTTTTTCTTCTTCTCCCTCTTCCCCTTTCCTCTCTCCCTTTTTCTTTTCTCTTCTGGGTTGTCTTTCTTTCTTCTGTCTTGTGTTTCTGTTCCTTCATTATTTATTTCATTACTTCCCCTCATCCCCCACCTCTGTGTTCTTGCTCTCCCTCTGTGGGCACCTAGCTCCCTTGCAGTGCTCCCCTTTCTTTGTATTTGATTGGCTCCTCCTCCTCCTTAATTCCCCCCCCCCCCACCCACCACCACCACCACCACCGCCGCCACCGCCGCCGCCACCACCACCGCCACCACTGCCACCACCGCCGCCACTGCCGCCGCCACCGCCGCCACCGCCGCCGCCGCCACCGCCACCACCGCCACCACCGCCGCCACCGCCGCCACCGCCGCCACTGCCGCCACCACTGCCACCACCACTGCCACCACCACCGCCACCACCACCACCTCCTCCTCCTTCTCCTCCTCCTCCTCCTCCTCCTCCTCCTCCTCCTCCTCCTCCTCCTCCTCCTCCTCCTGCCTATATATACCCGTCCTGCTCCACTTCTCGTTAGTGTGACTTTGTAAATGGTCCAAGTCGGACCGAAATGTCGTCAAAAGCTCCTCTCTTCTATGAGCGGGTTATTTGTGTATTGTTCCAGTCATGGTATTGTGCCTTTTTTTTTTGTTATTATCTGCAGATCAAGATACCCAGATGTTGCACATGTATCTAATTCTTCATCTTGTTGTACTGTACACCTTAAATGTATATGTGCACTTGTGTTCCTGCCTCAATATGTAATTTGTTACATCCCACACATGGAATACAGCCTCTCCCCATATAGTGATGTACTTGTTTACCAACAATATACAGTACACTGCTGCATAAACATTTAAAAATATACCAGAAATGTTATAAATGGTGCAAAGGTGACATTAGAACAATATCAAAGATGGTTGACACAAACCCACTACCATTATAGTATGCTCCTTGCTTAGCAACAAATTCATTTACCAACGTGGTCTTAGGAACGGAACTCTGTCGTTAAGTGAGGAGAGGCTGTACTACAAACTCCCTCTCTGTTATTATCTCCTGTGTTGTGTTATTATGGGTATGTTTCATCACATTTACATCCTTTCAGAAATCCCTACTGAAGAAAGTGCTGGGGCAGATTAGTGAGAACAGTCCACTGTATGCCTCGGTGTCTGACCACTTTGAGCTGTGTCTGGTGAAGTGCCGTACCTCCAGCCAATCAGTGCAGCATGAGACACTCTACATTGACCCTCGTGCCAAGCACTGTTATGGCCAGGGACCCCCACCACTGTCTAACAATGAAACGTGAAGGAGAGTGAGGTTGTACACCTAGAATGCTCTAGGATTTTGTAATTTCGAATATGCTTCCTATTATGCATTCGTAGACTCAACACCCAATCGCTGCTACGTATGACGACTTTTCCAATCTCTAAACGCTACGCAGGAAATAAGAATTTGTGCAGTTGAAATACAATATATTGTGGGTCTAATAATTGCTTCCTTTTGCCTTGATTATTTGTAATCTGCTTTCCATAGTTTAATCACAAAACCTCACATGATAATTTGTGTTTGCAGTTAATATATAACTGGTTTTCATATTAGTCCATTTTCTACATATTCAAAGCAGTGCCTGCACTCTGAAGGATGGAGTGGGGCTGTTACAGTCCTGGAGGTGGGAAGTACAGTTCCTGTACTCTGGAGGGGGTTGGAATATTACAGTCCTGGAGGTGGGAAGTAGTGTCTGCACTCTGGAGGGGGTTGGAATATTACAGTCCTGGAGGTGGGAAGTACAGTGCCTGCACTCTGGAGGGGGTTGGACTATTACAGTCCTGGAGGTGGGAAGTACAGTGCCAGCACTCTGGAGGGGGTTGGAATATTACAGTCCTGGAGGTGGGAACAGTTCCTGCACTCTGGAGGGGGTTGGAATATTACAGTCCTGGAGGTGGGAAGTACAGTGCCAGCACTCTGGAGGGGGTTGGAATATTACAGTCCTGGAGGTGGGAACAGTTCCTGCACTCTGGAGGGGGTTGGAATATTACAGTCCTGGAGGTGGGAAGTACAGTGCCAGCACTCTGGAGGGGGTTGGAATATTACAGTCCTGGAGGTGGGAACAGTTCCTGCACTCTGGAGGGGGTTGGAATATTACAGTCCTGGAGGTGGGAACAGTTCCTGCACTCTGGAGGGGGTTGGAATATTACAGTCCTGGAGGTGGGAACAGTTCCTGCACTCTGGAGGGGGTTGGAATATTACAGTCCTGGAGGTGGGAACAGTTCCTGCACTCTGGAGGGGGTTGGAATATTACAGTCCTGGAGGTGGGAACAGTTCCTGCACTCTGGAGGGGGTTGGAATATTACAGTCCTGGAGGTGGGAACAGTTCCTGCACTCTGGAGGGGGTTGGAATATTACAGTCCTGGAGGTGGGAAGTACAGTGCCAGCACTCTGGAGGGGGTTGGAATATTACAGTCCTGGAGGTGGGAACAGTTCCTGCACTCTGGAGGGGGTTGGAATATTACAGTCCTGGAGGTGGGAAGTACAGTGCCAGCACTCTGGAGGGGGTTGGAATATTACAGTCCTGGAGGTGGGAACAGTTCCTGCACTCTGGAGGGGGTTGGAATATTACAGTCCTGGAGGTGGGAAGTACAGTGCCAGCACTCTGGAGGGGGTTGGAATATTACAGTCCTGGAGGTGGGAAGTACAGTGCCAGCACTCTGAAAGAGGGGTTGGAATGTTATAGTCAGAGGGTTTGGTTATGATGTCAGCACACTCCTACAAAGATGGAATTATGTTGTCGTCTTCAGGTCACCATACTTTGGCAGGACACTGCTAGTGAATTAAAAAAAATCCAAGTATTATAATCAAACTAGACAGCAAATAAATACTGATATCAAAAAGAAGCATTTTCAAAGTATTGGACTCGTATCATTACACAAATTTTTGTTTACTGTCCAGTGTTGACATGCAAAATCTTCATGAAAAATGAAGTCTGTAGATTGTATAAATAACAGAGAACTTATATACTAGTGTCTTTCATAATGCAAAGAAAAATTTCTCAGTTTTTCATACGACGAAATTTATTTCAGTGTATTTATGTTTGTTTTAGCGACAGCTCTTAGATGTTGTACTTGGAAATCCCTATAGCCATGAAATATAAGTTGGGTGTATCCAGTACAGAACATGTATTTACATTTTTGTTGTAGCATATAAGTTTTTAGAATTTTTAGCATTGTAGGTCAGTATTTTAGTTATTTTTAAATAATTCCATTATAGAGGGCAAGTTTAGGTTGTCACTGTTAGCATGGGCTCCACTGTGACCACAAACACAGGGTTCTTACAGATGAATCCCACACTATGCTGGTGTGGGAGTCATCTTTAAAAATCTGCATTTGTCAGTGGTGTCTGCTGTTATGTCTGCTACCTTATTCAAACAGGATGGAAAGTGCAGTGTGCTGTTATGTCTGTTATCTTCTTCAAGCAAGATGGAAAGTGCAGTCTGCTGTTAAATCTACTGTCTTCTTCAAGCAGGACAACAAGTGCGTAAGATTTTACAAATGTCTTTTCTGACAGAAATGTAGATACTAAATCTCCACATTATCTAGCATAACTGTCTATATATTTTTTACAAGTATCTATCAGTTTGAGCCGAGGGAAAAGATGTAGAACTAAGCCACACTGGCTTTCTCGGGTTATCCTTAATTATTAACCCAACAGAGTGGATGATCCAGAGGAAGTCCTCAGTGTTAACTGACTTTATCACAGCATTGAAGACATGTTCAATAAAGGCTTGCTTTCATCCCCTATTTTGTAGGGATTAATGGATACAAAGATATCAGGACTCAAATGAGGGATTCTCTTTGTAATTAAAAGCATTTTCTCTCTCTCTCTCTGACAAGCATCACACAAACTTCTCTTCAACACTTGCCTTGAGATAGAGAGAGGAAGAGAACCAGACAAGAAATTTCTCTTTTTGGTATACTGGTCTTTGCTTCTCTCCCTAATCGTACACAGACGCGCATGTTGTCTGTGTCGTGCATAACTGCAGATGTGGAGATTTAGTTGTGCATATGCTTTGGTGCTCACTGTCAGCCAACCTATATATTACAGTCAACTCTATTATAACTCTCCTCTATACACAACAGTTTTTTGTAAATGCAATTAAAAAAAGCGTATATGAAATTGAATAACACGTGAAAGGACGTTCATTATATAGTGGTACCTTGAGTTACGAGCTTAATTCATTCCAGGAGGCTGTTCGAGTGCCGATAACGAACAAATTTGTTTCCATAAGGAATATTGTAAATTAGATTAATCCGTTTCAGACCCCCAAAAATACACTTACAAAATTGTTCGAGATGGGAGCTGCTCGTATCTCAAGATACCATCATATACGCTAATTTTGGAAGGGCTTTTTCAGTCAAATGTACAAAAAATCACACCCTATAGAGGAGCTTTATAACAGAGAGCTTATGTACTTCACAGTACAGTAATGGTCAATTTTATTTACATTGACGACTATTGTGTACGAAAGTCAAATAGGAATAATTTTTATTGTGAATTTTATATTGTTTTTGTTGTTACCTTTAAAAATCCTATATATTAGTAGCACTAAGTTAAGGTTTATGAAATTATTTTCAGATTTAATTTTTTATCGTGATTAATGTGTTCAGAGGAAAGTGATTAAAATGGGGAATGGACTATGTGGTGATAATTAGGTTTGATCCAAGGAAATTGAAAGAAGAGGAGGGCCCAGTTTGTTTGGCTCTAAACACAAATAACCCGCACATAGAAGAGAGGAGCTTACGACGATGTTTCGGTCCGACTTGGACCATTTACAAAGTCCAAGTCAGACCGAAACGTCGTCGTAAGCTCCTCTCTTCTATATGCGGGTTATTTGTGTATCGTTCCAGTCATGGCATTATGCCTTTTTTTGTTACTTTTGGCTCTAAAATTTGTGACCCTATACGACAAGCGAAAATCACCAGCGAATAGGAAAGAGCCTTTATTTTTCATTGTCGAATGATCTAAAATGCCCGGTAACATGTTTACACTATCATATAATGAGTGCTTAATACTGCTAGGTATAAAAATGAGATAAGTAAAATAAACACACAGTACACATAGGTGAAGTTTGACAGGTCCCGTTTAAGACACGTAGGTGAAGTTTGACAGGTCCCGTTTAAGACAAGTAGGTGAAGTTTGACAGGTCCCGTTTAAGACACGTAGGTGAAGTTTGACAGGTCCCGTTTAAGACACGTAGGTGAAGTTTGACAGGTCCCGTTTAAGACACGTAGGTGAAGTTTGACAGGTCCCGTTTAAGACATGTAGGTGAAGTTTGACAGGTCCCGTTTAAGACACGTAGGTGAAGTTTGACAGGTCCCGTTTAAGACACGTAGGTGAAGTTTGATAGGTCCCGTTTAAGACACGTAGGTGAAGTTTGACAGGTCCCGTTTAAGACACGTAGGTGAAGTTTGACAGGTCCCGTTTAAGACACGTAGGTGAAGTTTGACAGGTCCCGTTTAAGACACGTAGGTGAAGTTTGACAGGTCCCGTTTAAGACACGTAGGTGAAGTTTGACAGGTCCCGTTTAAGACACGTAGGTGAAGTTTGACAGGTCCCATTTAAGACACGTAGGTGAAGTTTGACAGGTCCCGTTTAAGACACGTAGGTGAAGTTTGACAGGTCCCATTTAAGACACATAGGTGAAGTTTGACAGGTCCCGTTTAAGACACGTAGGTGAAGTTTGACAGGTCCCGTTTAAGACATGTAGGTGAAGTTTGACAGGTCCCATTTAAGACACATAGGTGAAGTTTGACAGGTCCCGTTTAAGACACGTAGGTGAAGTTTGACAGGTCCCATTTAAGACACGTAGGTGAAGTTTGACAGGTCCCGTTTAAGACACGTAGGTGAAGTTTGACAGGTCCCATTTAAGACACATAGGTGAAGTTTGACAGGTCCCATTTAAGACACGTAGGTGAAGTTTGACAGGTCCCATTTAAGACAAGTAGGTGAAGTTTGACAGGTCCCGTTTAAGACACGTAGGTGAAGTTTGACAGGTCCCGTTTAAGACACGTAGGTGAAGTTTGACAGGTCCCATTTAAGACACGTAGGTGAAGTTTGACAGGTCCCATTTAAGACACGTAGGTGAAGTTTGACAGGTCCCATTTAAGACAAGTAGGTGAAGTTTGACAGGTCCCGTTTAAGACACGTAGGTGAAGTTTGACAGGTCCCATTTAAGACACGTAGGTGAAGTTTGACAGGTCCCGTTTAAGACACATGTGAAGTTTGACAGGTCCCGTTTAAGACACACATGTGAAGTTTGACAGGTTTCGTTTAAGACACGTAGGTGAAGTTTGACAGGTCCTGTTTAAGACACATGTGAAGTTTGACAGGTCCCATTTGAGACACACATGTGAAGTTTGACAGGTCCCGTTTAAGACACATAGGTGAAGTTTGACAGGTCCCGTTTAAGACATACATTATGTGAAATTTGACTGACAGGTACCACTGCTGGAGCATAAGTAATTTTAACTACCAAGTTAGTACAAAATACAGCAGCAAGGGCCGAGTGGTCACCTTTTGTTATCTTTGACTCCTCGTCAAGTTGGGAACTGACCAGGTTATTGGTAGGCATAACTCTAAATAACTGTGCACGTTTGTATCATTTATTTCAACATGATGTAATGTTTGTTCAGAGAGGGATGACATTTACGTGTGGGTACACAAAGCCGCTTAGTATACAGAGCATTTTACAATTTGTATGGGGGTATAAGTTGGCCACAATTTTAGAAAAACGTTGTAGGCTGCTCTGTTATGAAACTCGTCTTTATAGTGCAATATTTTGTTAAATATGATTGAAAGAGTTCATCCAAAATTGAATAACATTTGAAAAGACCATGGTGTATGCTGTTTAATTTTGAATGTTTGATTTCAATTACATTTGCAGAAAAAAAATCACACTACATAAAATAGCTGTACATACTATGTGTACCTATAACTAAATCAACTTACAGGAGGACCCCACTTTACAGCACTTCACTTTCCAGTGTTTCACTAATACAGCAGTCTTCAGTTATAGCCATTCTTCGTTTATTCCGAGTTTCTACAATAAATATATTTGGGGCTCTGGTGGCCTGGTGGTTAACGCTCTCGCTTCACACGGTGAGGGCCTGGGTTCGATTCCCAGCCAGAGTAGAAACATTGGACGTGTTTCTTTCCACCTGTTGTCTATGTTCACCATCAGTAAAATGGGTACCTGGGTGTTAGTGGACTGGTGTGGGTCGCATCCTGGGACACTGACCTAAGGAGGCCTGGTCACAGACCGGGCCGCGGGGGTGTTGACCCCCGGAACTCTCTCCAGATAAACTCTCCAGATAAACTACTCACTATAAGCTGAGGATGAGAATATTTTAAGGTAAGTAATGTGTGTACTGTATTTGTATTTTTTAGGCCTAACTATTGCTCATGTAATATATGATAGTGTAAACATTACTGGCTTTTCTGTGCATTTGAAAGTAAAAGAAAAGTTATGTTTCACTTTACAGCAGTAGCCCAGAACTTAACCTGCTGTATAAGTGGGGCCCTACAGTAGCCCAGAACTTAACCTGCTGTATAAGTGGGCCCTACAGTAGCCCAGAACTTAACCTGCTGTATAAGTGGGGCCCTACAGTAGCCCAGAACTTAACCTGCTGTATAAGTGGGGCCCTACAGTAGCCCAGAACTTAACCTGCTGTATAAGTGGGCCCTACAGTAGCCCAGAACTTAACCTGCTGTATAAGTGGGGCCCTACAGTAGCCCAGAACTTAACCTGCTGTATAAGTGGGGCCTACAGTAGCCCAGAACTTAACCTGCTGTATAAGTGGGGCCTACAGTAGCCCAGAACTTAACCTGCTGTATAAGTGGGGCCTGCAGTAGCCCAGAACTTAACCTGCTGTATAAGTGGGGCCTACAGTAGCCCAGAACTTAACCTGCTGTATAAGTGGGCCCTACAGTAGCCCAGAACTTAACCTGCTGTATAAGTGGGGCCTACAGTAGCCCAGAACTTAACCTGCTGTATAAGTGGGGCCCTACAGTAGCCCAGAACTTAACCTGCTGTATAAGTGGGGCCTACAGTAGCCCAGAACTTAACCTGCTGTATAAGTGGGGCATACAGTAGCCCAGAACTTAACCTGCTGTATAAGTGGGGCCCTACAGTAGCCCAGAACTTAACCTGCTGTATAAGTGGGGCCTACAGTAGCCCAGAACTTAACCTGCTGTATAAGCAGGGCCCTACAGTAGCCCGGAAGTTAACCTGCTGTATAAGCAGGGCCTTACAGTAGCCCAGAAGTTAACCTGCTGAATAATGGGGCCCTACAGTAGCCCGGAAGTTAACTTGCTGTATAAGCAGGGCCTACAGTAGCCCAGAAGTTAACCTGCTGTATAAGCAGGGCCTTACAGTAGCCCAGAAGTTAACCTGCTGTATAAGTGGGGCCTTACAGTAGCCCAGAAGTTAACCTGCTGTATAATGGGGCCCTACAGTAGCCCAGAAGTTAACCTGCTGTATAAGTGGGGCCTTACAGTAGCCCAGAACTTAACCTGCTGTATAAGTGGGGCCTTACAGTAGCCCAGAACTTAACCTGCTGTATAAGTGGGGCCTTACAGTAACCCAGAAGTTAACCTGCTGTATAATGGGGCCTTACAGTAGCCCAGAACTTAACCTGCTGTATAAGTGGGGCCTACAGTAGCCCAGAACTTAACCTGCTGTATAAGTGGGCCCTACAGTAGCCCAGAACTTAACCTGCTGTATAAGTGGGGCCTTACAGTAGCCCAGAAGTTAACCTGCTGTATAATGGGGCCTTACAGTAGCCCAGAAGTTAACCTGCTGTATAATGGGGCCTTACAGTAGCCCAGAAGTTAACCTGCTGTATAAGTGGGGCCTACAGTAGCCCAGAAGTTAACCTGCTGTATAAGTGGGCCCTACAGTAGCCCAGAAGTTAACCTGCTGTATAAGTGGGGCCTACAGTAGCCCAGAAGTTATCCTGCTGTATAATGGGGCCATACAGTAGCCCAGAAGTTAACCTGCTGTATATACAATGTTTTACTACATGTAAACTACATTATCATTATACATCATAAAAACGAAATAAAAATTTGAATTTGAAGTGTGTTTTTTTTTTGTGAATACCATTATAAAAGTAGAGCCAAAATTTAAGAGTACATACTATGGCCTTTCCATGTAACGTTCAATTTTGAATGTCTTTTTCAGTTGCCTTTACTGAAAATTGCACTGTATAGATGGGGTAATGTGGTAGAGATCTGGTTCAGTATTACTAGTGTTGACAGGGTAACACAAGATGTCTGAGTCGCATCCTGGGACAAAACTGACATAATTTGTGGGAAATGATCAGCATAACAAGGGACTTTCTATATAGTAATATGTCACTGATGTCAGCTATGGTCTGTATACCTTGTACATGTGCTGGTATACCTTGTACATGTACTTGTATACCTTGTACATGTACTTGTATACCTTGTACATGTGCTTGTATACCTTGTACATGTACTTGTATACCTTGTACATGTACTGGTATACCTTGTACATGTACTTGTATACCTTGTACATGTACTGGTATACCTTGTACATGTACTTGTATACCTTGTACATATACTTATATACCTTGTACATGTGCTTGTATACCTTGTACATATACTTATATACCTTGTACATGTACTGGTATACCTTGTACATGTACTGGTATACCTTGTACATATACTGGTATACCTTGTACATGTACTGGTATACCTTGTACGTGTACTGGTATACCTTGTACATGTACTTGTATACCTTGTAGATGTACTTGTATACCTTGTACATGTACTTGTATACCTTGTTCGTGTACTGGTATACTTTGTACATGTATACCTTGTACATGTACTTGTATACCTTGTACATGTACTGGTATACCTTGTACATGTACTGGTATACCTTGTACATATACTGGTATACCTTGTACATGTACTGGTATACCTTGTACATATACTGGTATACCTTGTACATGTACTTGTAGAAATAAAGGTATTATTATTATTATTATTATTATTATTATTATTATTCATTGTGAAATGATCGGTCCTGGGACTGTTCAGGCATGATTGATCGTGTGGAAAAGTTTTGGCATACAGTGGCTTCATCAGTCAAAAACAAAGAAATGCAATGAAGAATGGTAGAAAAAGAGGAGTTGAAGTAGTCAGTCCCTCAGTCTGGAGTCGATGTGTTCAGTCCAACTGAACATCAATCATGAAATCAACGTGTTAAGTCCCTGAAAATGATGTATTCAGTCTCGGAATCAATGTTTTCAGTTCATCGATCTTGAAGATTGACGGAATCGATGTGTTCAGTTCTCGGAATCAATGCGTTCAATCCTGGATTGATTGCCCCAACCCATCGACTCCAAGGTGAGGGACTGATCACCTTAAACTCCTCTTTTTCTATCATTCTTCCACGTACTGGACTGAAGAAGTCACTGGCTGGCAAAACGTTTCCTCAATAAAGGTTGCCAAATGTTGCACAAATGTGTCATTCTTCAACTGGTCAGTTTTCTAGACCATTTATCACATGACTGGTCCGATTTGATGCCAACTTTGTTCCGCTGCTTCATTATAAACATGGTAACGTAAAGTTATCCTCAAGTCCAAAAATTCAATATCAAAATTGAAAAATTCAAAATTGAAAATATCAAAATTGAAAAATTGAAAATTGAAAATATCAAAATTGAAAAATTCAAAATTGAAAATATCAAAATTGAAAAATTCAAAATTGAAAATATCAAAATTGAAAAATTCAAAATTGAAAATATCAAAATTGAAAAATTGAAAATTGAAAATATCAAAATTGAAAAATTCAAAATTGAAAATATCAAAATTGAAAAATTCAAAATTGAAAATATCAAAATTGAAAAATTCAAAATTGAAAATATCAAAATTGAAAAATTCAAAATTGAAAATATCAAAATTGAAAAATTCAAAATTGAAAATATCAAAATTGAAAAATTCAAAATTGAAAATATCAAAATTGAAAAATTCAAAATTGAAAATATCAAAATTCAAAATTTTTATATCTTTGTGTAGTATATAAAGTGTAGTTTACATGTAATTCAGTATTATTAAGCACAAAGAAAGCCGCTACATGCATGAACTTTTTGGGCAGCAAGAAAACGATATATACCATTGGAAAGCTGAGAATTTATAGTTTTAAATCCATTTACAGAACAAAATAATTTGGAAAGCATGATGACCATTTAGAATACAAAATTTTCGGAAGTTTGTTATGTCCATATTTGTATACTATATTTCATAATTTTAATCAAAATAAATCGCTCGACATTTTTATGGTTTTATAAGTATTGACCTTTCATTTATGACCAATATCAACTATGTATTAAACTTTTCTTAACCCTTAAACTGTCCGAACGTAGATCTACGTTTGTACCGCTAGCACTCCAAACGTAGATGTCCGTTTTATTTTACGTGCTTTCAAATGTAAAATAAAACTTAGATCTACGTTCGGAGCGCTACATGAGTAAATGTATATCTACGTTTGGACAGTTGAAGGGTTAAACTACGGGATTACGTAATGCAGAATTTTGTACATGAAGTTCAAACTGTCCTTGAAAGTTATGACCAATGATTCACTGCATCTTGATAAGTTAATTTGCCTTGCAAGGTCATACCTGGAATATACCTGGTGTATACCTGGAATATACCTGGTGTATACCTGGAATATACCTGGTGTATACCTGGAATATACAGTGGACCCCCGCATAACGATTACCTCTGAATGCGACCAATTATGTAAGTGTATTTATGTAAGTGCGTTTGTATGTGTATGTTTGGGGGTCTGAAATGGACTAATCTACTAAACAATATTTCTTATGGGAACAAATTCAGTCAGTACTGGCGCCTGAACATACTTCTGGAGTGAAAAAATATCGTTAACCGGGGGTCCATTGTACCTGGAATATACCTGGTGTATACCTGGAATATACCTGGTGTATACCTGGAATATACCTGGTGTATACCTGGAATATATCTGGTGTATACCTGGAATATACCTGGAGGGAGTTCTGGGGGCCAACGCCCCTGCAACCCTATTTATGACCAGGCCATGCAGTGTGTTGTGGGCATGGTGTTTCTCATTAATGGCCCGAAACATGCATGTGTAATTTGCTAGTATGAAATGTTGCAACTAATGAGATTCACCTTGTCATAAGAGGTTAACTCAGATGAGAAATAATGGTAGATTTACTGACAAAATATTAGGTACAAGGGCAGAGATGCAATTAATGTGACATTTTAATTCATGAACTTGTAATAACACTACTGGAAACAAACCACAGAACTCACAGGCCAGTGCATGAGCCACTCCAGTGGCCATGCACTGGCCTGGAGTTGCACCACTCACCGTGCATTCAAGCCCCCACCCATTCTTTGGTTTGTGACATTTTTTTCTTGTGGCAACATTTCACTCTCCAGGAGCTTGACAGCTCCTGGAAAGCAAAATGTTGACTCAATAAAATATCACATTAGTTACACCTGTGACCTACCTAACTTAATTCACCTTGCCAGGTCCTGGATGGTGTTTCTCACATTACTGGTCTAAAATGTTTGTGTGTGTGTAATTAGCTAAATATTTTTATTACCCTCAAATGTATATTACTGTATATTGCGCATAAACTTAATGAAATTATAATTCGTTTTTCTAATACACCAAAGCAAAAACAGGTGTTCCTTGACTTACAATAGTGTTACGTTCTGACGAACCCTTCGTAAGCTGAAAATATATGAAGTCGAATATGATATGATAAGTAAATAAATAACTATCACTAAATAAGTAAATAAACAAATAATTACTGTAACTAAATACCAGTATTGAAAAGTATGTTAATGAGTACAAGTTATGGACTTGCCACCTACATTTTTTTTTATTAACACATCGGCTGTCTCCCACCAAGGCAGGGTGGCCTGAAAAAGAAAAACTTTCATCATCATTCACTCCATCAGAGTGCAGACACTGTACTTCTCATCTCCAGGACTCAAGTTCAGCCTGCCAGTTTCTCTGAATCCCTTCATAAATGTTACCTTGTTAAGAGTCCAGTTATAATTATCTGCCTTCATGCTGGGTAATTATTGTAAGTTTCATTTCCAGAGTACACCTACCATCCGACTTACGACCTGCTCGACTTACGACCACTCGACTTACGACCACTCGACTTACGACCATGTTTTTTATGCCAAATTTCTGGGAAATAAACAACTATTTGTGTTGTACACAGTGTTTATCCTAAACCTTACAGTATAAAATACAGTACTAACAGCATAAAAAGTAAAGTAAAACATGAAATACCAAAATAAAACTATAAAATAAAGTCATTACAAAAATTTTTTGTTGATATTCAGTAGTAAAGTTCGACTTACGACCATTTTGACTTACGACCGGTTTCTCGGAACCAAACTTGCTCGTAAGTCGGATGGTGGGTGTAATTGCTTTTGCATCATCGCATACCCCTCAGGAGAGGTTCCTTGATGCTGGTGAGGGGCTCTTGTTCTTGGGAATTGGATCTGTGCTCTGGATCCCTGGATTGAGTCTGAATACCTTCCATCCCCCCCCCATGTGTGCTGTATAATCCTACAGGTTTAGTGCTTCCCCATGATTATAATAATGCACCATCGTAAGTTGAAATATCATCAGTTGCATCATCATAAGTCGAGGAGCACCTGTATTTTCCTGATTTTTTTTTTTAACACATCTGCTGTTTCCCACCTAGACAGGATGACCCAAAAAAGAAGAAACACCTTCATCATCACTCACTCCATCACTGTCTTACCAGAGTGCACCGATACTACAGTTCAAAAACTGCAACATATTTTTGTGAATTATTTTCCGATACTCAAAATTTATTCAAGAAAAGCAGTACTGGAGTTTACCTGGAGAGAGTTCCGGGGGTCAATGCCCCTGTGGCCCGGTCTGTGACCAGGCCTCCTGGTGGATCAGAGCCTGATCAACCAGGCTGTTGCTGCTGGCTGCACGCAAACCAACGTACGAGCCACAGCCCGGCTGATCAGGAACTGACTTTAGGTGCTTGTCCAGTGCCAGCTTGAAGACTGCCAGGGGTCTGTTGGTAATCCCCCTTATGTGTGCTGGGAGGCAGTTGAACAGTCTCGGGCCCCTGACACTTATTGTATGGTCTCTTAATGTGCTAGTGACACCCCTGCTTTTCATTGGGGAGATGTTGCATCATCTGCCAAGTCTTTTGTTTTCGTAGTGAGTGATTTTCGTGTGCAAGTTCGGTACTAGTCCCTCTAGGATTTTCCAGGTGTATATAATCATGTATCTCTCCTGCCTGCATTCCAGGGAATACAGTTTTAGGAACCTCAAGCGCTCCCAGTAATTGAGGTGTTTTATCTCCGTTATGCGCGCTGTGAAGGTTCTCTGTACATTTTCTAGGTCAGCAATTTCACCTGCCTTGAAAGGTGCTGTTAGTGTGCAGCAGTATTTCAGCCTAGATAGAACAAGTGACCTGAAGAGTGTCATCATGGCCTAGGCCTCCCTAGTTTTGAAGGTTCTCATTATCCATCCTGTCATTTTTCTAGCAGATGCAATTGATACAATGTTATGGTCCTTGAAGGTGAGATCCTCCGACATGATCACTCCCAGGTCTTTGACGTTGGTGTTTCGCTCTATTTTGTGGCCAGAATTTGTTTTGTATTCTGATGAAGATTTAATTTCCTCGTGTTTACCATATCTGAGTAATTGAAATTTCTCATCGTTGAACTTCATATTGTTTTCTGCAGCCCACTGAAAGATTCGGTTGATGTCCGCCTGGAGCCTTGCAGTGTCTGCAATGGAAGACACTGTCATGCAGATTCGGGTGTCATCTGCAAAGGAAGACACGGTGCTGTGGCTGACATCCTTGTCTATGTTGGATATGAGGATGAGGAACAAGATGGGAGTGAGTACTGTGCCTTGTGGAACAGAGCTTTTCACCGTAGCTGCCTCGGACTTTACTCTGTTGACGACTACTCTCTGTGTTCTGTTAGTGAGGAAATTATAGATCCATCGACCGACTTTTCCTGTTATTCCTTTAGCACGCATTTTGTGCGCTATTACGCCATGGTCACACTTGTCGAAGGCTTTTGCAAAGTCTGTATATATTACATCTGCATTCTTTTTATCTTCTAGTGCATTTAGGACCTTGTCGTAGTGATCCAATAGTTGAGACAGACAGGAGCGACCTGTTCTAAACCCATGTTGCCCTGGGTTGTGTAACTGATGGGTTTCTAGATGGGTGGTGATCTTGCTTCTTAGGACCCTTTCAAAGATTTTTATGATACAGGATGTTAGTGTTATCGGTCTGTAGTTCTTTGCTGTTGCTTTACTGCCCCCTTTGTGGAGTGGGGCTATGTCTGTTGTTTTTAGTAACTGTGGGACGACCCCTGTGTCCATGCTCCTTCTCCATAGGATGGAAAAGGCTCGTGATAGGGGCTTCTTGCAGTTCTTGATGAACACGGAGTTCCATGAGTCTGGCCTTGGAGCAGAGTGCATGGGCATGTCATTTATCGCCTGTTCGAAGTCATTTGGCGTCAGGATAACATTGGATAGGCTTGTGTTAACCAAATTTTGTGGCTCTCTCATAAAAAATTCATTTTGATCTTTGACTCTCAGTCTGGTTAGCGGCTTGCTAAAAACTGAGTCATATTGGGACTTGAGTAGCTCACTCATTTCTGTGCTGTCATCTGTGTAGGACCCATCTTGTTTAAGTAGGGGCCCAATACTGGACGTTGTTCTCGACTTTGATTTGGCATAGGAGAAGAAATACTTTGGGTTTCTTTCGATTTCATTGATGGCTTTTAGTTCTTCCCGCGATTCCTGACTCCTATAAGATTCCTTTAGCTTAAGTTCGATGCTTGCTATTTCTCTGACCAGTGTCTCCTACGCATTTCAGATATATTGACCTCTTTTAGCCGCTCTGTCATTCTTTTCCGTCGCCTGTAAAGGGAGCGCCTGTCTCTTTCTATTTTACATCTACTCCTCCTTTTTCTTAGAGGAATAAGCCTTGTGCATACATCGAGTGCCACCAAGTTAATCTGTTCTAGGCATAAGTTGGGGTCTGTGTTGCTTAGTATATCTTCCCAGCTTATATCGGTTAGGACTTGGTTTACTTGGTCCCACTTTATGTTTTTGTTATTGAAGTTGAATTTGGTGAATGCTCCCTCGTGACTAGTCTCATTATGTCGGTCTGGGGCTCCACGCATACATGTCTGAACCTCAATTATGTTGTGATCTGAGTATATTGTTTTTGATATGGTGACATTTCTTATCAGATCATCATTGTTAGTGAAGATGAGGTCTAGTGTATTCTCCAGTCTAGTAGGCTATTATCTGCTGGTTTAAATTGAATTTTGTGCAGAGATTTAAAAGCTCATGTGAGTGTGAGTTTTCATCAGAGCTGCCTCCTGGTGTTATTACTGCAACAATATTATTTGCAATATTCCTCCATTTTAGGTGCCTTAAGTTGAAATCCCCCAGGAGCAAGATGTTGGGTGCAGGAGCTGGAAGATTTTCCAGACAGTGGTCAATTTTTAACAGCTGTTCCTGGAATTGCTGGGATGTTGCATCCGGAGGCTTGTAGACTACCACAATGACTAGGTTTTGGTTCTCGACCTTTACTGCTAAAACTTCCACTACATCATTTGAGGCATTTAGCAGTTCTGTGCAAACAAGTGACTCTGCAATGTACAGGCCAACCCCCCCCCCTTTTGTCTGTTCACTCTGTCACATCTGTATAGGTTGTAACCTGGGATCCATATTTCGTTGTCCAAGTGATCCTTTATGTGGGTCTCAGTGAAAGCAATTCTGTTGCCATAAGAGCATATTGAACTATGTAACTGTATGGTACTGTATGTTGATCTATGTAAATGTATGGTACTGTATATTGATCTATATAACTGTATGGTACTGTATATTGATCTATATAAATGTATGGTACTGTATATTGATCTATATAACTGTATGGTACTGTATATTAATCTATATAACTGTATGGTACTGTATATTAATCTCCATAATCTGTATCTATATAACGGCAGCAGGGGTTTAGAGCAGGTTACTTTTGCCTATTCCAACTACTGGACCACTATGACAAGGTCTTGGTTGCTCTGGAGGACAAACACAATGCAGATGTAGTATACACAGACTTTGCAAAAGCCTTTGACAAGTGTGACCATGGTGTAATAGTGTACAAAATGCGGGATAAAGGAATATCAGGAAAAGTTAGATGGATCTATAACTTCCTGACAAATAGAGCACAAACAGTAATAGTACACAGTAAAGTCAGTTTTGGCTACAGTGAAAAGTTCTGTTCCACAGTACTCGCTCCCATCCTGTTCCTCATCCTCATTTGACATAGAGTAAGCCACAGCACTATGTTTGTGTAGTGTAGTACATCATGTCTAACTTGTGAATGACAACCAAATTTGCAAGACAGTGTCATCCATCAAATACACTGCAAATTTCCAAGCAGACATCAACCAAATCTTTAAATGTGCCACAGAAAACAATATGAAGTTACATGAAGACAAATTTCAATTGCTTTTCTATTCAATTCAATTCAATTCAAGTTTATTCTCTATAAGGGTTACAATATGGGGTTTACAGGTTTTGGATATTGTGTGGTTTACATGTTATAAAAT